TATATATATATATATATATATATATATATATATATATATATATATATATATATATATATATATATATATATATATATATATATATATATATATATATATATATATATATATATATAAATCAATTAAAAACTACTTTGAGAATAAATTTAGAAAATTTGATGGTGTTGGCATACACTTAAATTTGATTGATCTTCCTATAAGTATAACAACAATACATAAAAAATCAAATAACCTACGACTCAATATATTATTTGTATTAAATTTTTTAAATTTATTTCATTTGAAAAATTATTATATATGAGAGCTTATCAACGCATATTAAGGAATATATTGATCTAAATACGAGAAAGTATCTGCTACTTTTTAAAATAATAATAAAATAAATGTTTGTCAATAATTTAGTATTTAAAACTAATAATAAAGAATAAAAAAAATTATTTGTATTAAATTTTTTAAATTCATGTCATTTGGAAAATTATTATATACGAGCTTACTAACACATATTTGAGAATATATTGAATGTTTAAAAGTAATAAGAAAGATCATAATAATTGTAACTAATATATCAATTATATAAAATTTTATCAAATTGATTTTTATATTAAATTTTTAATGAATAAGTAAGATTTAAGACATCGAATTATAATTAATTTGTAAGTTATTTTCATTTAAAATAATAATTTATTGCCGATGTAAAATATTTGTATATTAAACATTCTTAAAAGAGGGACCCTTTGGCTCCGTTCCTTTTTGCCATAGTTGCAGAGGGATTATCTTGCTTAGTTAGAGTCGCAGCTGTCGGTAATTTGTTAACAGAATTCAAGATCAACGATCAAATTTCTGAGTGCATGCTTCAGTTTGCGGATGACACTCTTCTTATAGGAGATGGATCTGTTATGAATATATGGGCTTTCAAGGTTGTTTTGCGTGCATTCGAATTAATATCTGGTTTGAAAATTAATTTTTCTAAAAGTTGTCTTTACGGTATAGGAGTAGAACCTGTTTTCCTTGCTGTAGTAGAAGAATTTCTTCATTATAAATCTGACACACTGCCGTTCAGCTTTCTCGGTCTTCAGGTTGGAGGAAATCATCGTCGTCATTCCTTTTGGAATCCGGTTCTTTCTCATCTGAGGAGTAAATTATCAAATTGGACTGGGAGAAATTTGTCAATGGGAGGTAGAGTTTCCCTCTTAAACTCAGTTTTAGTTAACTTGCATATTCATTACTTGGCTTTCTTCAAGGCACCCAAGAAAATCGTGAACGATATCATCGCAATCCAAAGGTGATTTCTCTGGGCTGGGAACTCTAGTAAAAAGTTCATTCCCTGGATATCTTGGAATTCCATCTGTAAGCCGAAGGATTGCGGAGGTCTGGGAATTAATCACATAGGCCGGTTTAATTGCGCTCTTATAACAAAGTGGAAGTGAAGATTTCTAAGTGGCGGAAATGAAATTTGGAGAAAATCTTTGAATCTCAGATACGGTAACTTGAGCATGAAGGTGCAAACTTTTGCTGACATCGGTAACTTGAATAAAGATTTTATTTGGATGAAGGATATTATGTCAAGTTCAACCTGCGACGTCAATGTAGACTTTTGCAAGTTTACGGCTTGTTCTATTGGAGAAGGTCACAACACGGCGTTTGGCAATCTAATTGGATTGGAGATATCCCGCTTAAAAGCATGTTCCCGCGGTTGTTTCAGAACTGTTCAAGGAAAATTTCATCAGTCAACGAGATGGGTTCTTGGGAGGAGAGTCATTGGGTTTGGAAAGTTAGAGAATCGTTGATTGATGACGATTCCAATTCTGCATCTGATTGGGCATAATATAGTGGTCTGTTGGATCAGATGGCAGCCATCATCAATGTCGGCGACAACTGGAAATGGCTTCTTCATGATTCTCATTCGTATAAGGTTAGATTTTTCTATGCTGCTTTACCCTCTTCCTCATCTGCTTCTATTCTTATTGGAAATGATTGTGCTGCTCTTCTGGAGATCCTTTGGAAAACGGGGTTACCGGCAAAAGTCCAAATTTTTAGTTGGAGGTTGGCGCTAGATAGGCTGCCTACCAGATCCAATTTGATGAAAAGAAGGGTGATTGACTATCCCCAAAATTCGAATTGTGCGTTCTGTTCGTCAAGTTTAGAGGACGTAGCTCATCTTTTCTTCTCGTGCTATAAATCCTCGTTGGTGTGGAATAGGATTTGCGAGTGGGTGGATATAGAGTATATTTCGGAGGATTTGTTGTAGTCTTCATGCGAAGGTATGAAAATTGAGACTTCTGGGTCGCTGCAAAGAGTACAAGATCAATTATATTTGGTTCATCTCTTGTTGGAGTTTATGGAGGGTTAGAAATAACATTATCTTCAGTAATGCTTCTCTTGAAGTTGAGGACATTGTTTCCGACATTAAAGTTTTCTCGTTGAATTGGTTGATTTTAGGTAGACAGGGTAGTAAGAATTATAGTTTGTACGATTGGTTCAAATTTCCGTTCGATATTATGTAATTGTTTTGTTTTAGGTCCTGTTTGTAATCTTGCTGATCAGAGATTATCTTTATCTCTTTAATATATCTTTGCTTATAAAAAAAAATAAAAAAATAAATCAATATATATTATTTGACATATTTCAATTGAGTTAGAATTTACATTGATGATAATCTTTAATAAAAAATAGTGAAAGTAAAGTTATAGAATTTTTAAATGATATAAATGGTAGAGTTATAATTTAGATTGCAAGATAAATATAAATATTAAATAGAAAAAAATTAAGGTTTCAAAATTTTTAATATATACTAATTATAGAGTTAGAAATTGAATTGTATATAATTATTAATAGTAAATAGCGAGTAATGGTACATTAATTATACAATAAGTTTATTTTTTATACAATTATATGTAATTAATATTGAGAAGCTAAAGTTTAATTTTTTTTTTAATTTAACATCGATGATAATTGATAGACTAAAAATTTGAATGGATAGATAATCATTGATAATAAATAGTGAGGAATTGAATTTATTTTTTTAATATGACACTAATTGTAGAGATGGAATTTAGGTGGTTAGGTAGTCACTTTTAACCAATAGTGAAAAAAGATGTTTGAAATTTGGGAAATGCTAACGAGTGCCCTCAAGGCATTGGTTAAGAGATTAAAATGGTAAGTTGGGCATTATTTAAGAGATTGAAAATATATTTTTTATAAATATATGTGTATTCAATGCCCTGAAAAGAGAAATAATCAGATTTTTTAAAGAATATTGTGTGTATTGAGTGAATTAAATATAACATATTTTTCTTATTTGGAATTCTTACCTAGTGCCCTGAGGGCACTGGTTAACATGACCCTTGAAATTTTTATAACACTAATTAGAGAGTAAGAAAAAGGATTCATAAATAATCATTGTATCTAAATCGTGAGAAATAGAATTTCAAAACTTTTAATATTGCATTAATTAACTATTGTATGTAACTGAAATGTGTATGTAAAAGACCAAATAAAGCTATTGATCCAAATATTAAAAAAATAGAAATTCACTATTATAAATAATAAATTTTATGACAAAACTTTCACGTTCGCCAACAAAAAAATTAAGGTATAATGTTAAGGCGCGTCATGTTTTATTTTTAAGAAAAAAATAAATATTACATATTCTCTAGATTTTTAAATATAACCGAGAAAAAAAATAATTCAGGATATGTTTCGAATCCCAACAACATCAATTTATGTTTTTAATTTTTTAAAAGTGGTGCCTTTATTTTTATTTTATTTTATATTTTTAAATTAAAGATCTACTCCTTCGATTATATTTAATAACTGAAGGATTAGATTATCTGATTTTACTATAAAAACACTCATTAATCAGATTTTATTCTAAACCTAACTTATATCACAACGATTAGTTTAAACAACCATGGTGATATATGGGTTACGTTAATGGAATCATCAAAATAAGGAATTATCAACATAATGACATCAACAACAATGTCATCATTAACAACAATGACATCCTCAACACAATGACATTAACAACAACAAATAGATAAACAACAATGACATCATCAACACAATCACATCAACAACAATGCATATCAACAACAATGGCATCATCACTAACAATGACATCATCAACACAGTGGCATCAACAACACAAACACAATGGAAAATGAAGTTGACTGTATATGCATGGGGGAAAATGTTTACGTACCCTAAGCGTGATGAATAAGTAAAAAAAAAGTTGTCAGAATCTTTGTCTTACTCCTCAAAGACACGTAAGCCTAGAACGACGAAGTTGGTGTCGCCTTTCACCTCGACGGTACGTAAGCCTAGAATGACGAAGTTGGATGAAGTTGTTGGTTATAAATGGTGTCATTTCGTTAGGGTTGAAAATGGTGTTATTTCGTTAGGGTTGAAAATATTGTTGTTTCATTATGGTTGAAAATTGTGTTGTTTCGTTAATTGAAATGAACAAATGCAACTGAAGAGACAAGCTAGCTAATTGTGTTTCCTTTAAGTGAATAAGTCATTCCACCACAGTATTTTAATACAACCGTTGTGATATATGGCTAACTTATTGTAATTTTTTTAAAATGTTTTAGATTTTAAACATTTAAAAATTAAAAATAAAATTGAAAAATATATCATAGCGGTTAGTTTAAACAACCATGGTGATGTATGGGTTACGTTAATATAATTATATAAAAAAGCGTCGGATTTTAAATATCTAAAAATTAAAAAAAAAAATATTGAAAAATATATCACATCATGATTTTTGTTGATATAAGATTATTCTATGATTGCACATATTTTATAACACAAATAGTCATCAATATATATATAACTCAAAAGGGCATTTAATCCAGCATCAACTCGCCAAATATATATATAGCAGCACATTTATTGAAATTAATAACCTTATATTAAGTTACACCAAAGAACCAAGTACATAGCATATGCATAATAGCATAAACACAAACTTAAATATTAAAATACAACAGCAATAATCAATAGTGAAAAACATAAACATTGTACTCATCAATAGCAAGTCCAGTTTTGAAATCAAGGGAGTGAGTAGTAACTTGAGCATAGCCTCTAGCAAATTTGAAAACTCCAGTACCACCAACAACAGGCATCTCTTTAACCTTATCAAAAACAGGATTCCTCCCCAAGATAGTTATACTACTTCCATTATACTTTCCTTCAATTAGAGCACAATTCATAGCCATGAGTAAACCAAGCTCAACTTGTGAAGCAGATGCATAGAATCCTTCAGCTTTTCCAACAAGCTTGGAACTCAGTTCGGGTCTTATAGTCAAAGGGCTGTCCATCATGCTGATTGAACCAAAATAAGTGGTCGAGTTTATCATCTTTGGTGACGGAACAACTTCAATAGAAGTAGCATTTTTTCCAGTCGCTATGTTATGCCAGTAGAACTTGAAATGGTTTAGCTTTTCTTTCTTGCTTAGGCCTAACAACTTTTTGTCTATTGGACGAACAAAATCAAAGGTGTTTTCTTCATTTTCTAATGATGATGTTGAAGTGATGGTGTTGCTGGATATGACGAGGAATAAGAAGAGAGTGAGGAACTGTTGGGTAGACATTGTTGTGTGTTTACTGAGAAAGTAAAGTATTGGAAGTTGAATGAAGTGAAGTGAAGTGAGGGTGAGGGTGAGGGCTTTATTTATAAGACAACAAATCAAGACGAAAAACAATGATTTTTAAATATTTAAATAAAATTGAGTTATATGCTTTAAAATTAGTAGGTGTGAGTATGGTCAAGTTCATCACATTAAAATATTTTCAAATAAATCTAGAATTATAGCTAAGTAGGTGTATGTATGGTAAGATTTTGGTTGAAACATTAATTGATTGGACATTTGGATTCACACGCTTCATTTTTCTTGGTTGCACTTGTAACAATATGTTGTTCTAGTAACTATAAATCTCAACTCATAAGAATATCTATGTTTGATTATTAAAACGAGTTAAATGAAATTATAGAAATAAAGAGGTTTTTAACTTTTATATTTAATATGAAAGATTTTAGATTAGTAGACACTCTTTTTTGGATGAAAGTAAAGCGAAATAGTGGGAGTAGTGAACTTAGTCATACACTTCATGATAATGTTTAAAAGGTATTAATGCATTCGATAGTCAAACTACTTTAATTAGGGCATACAATAAAATGTATAATGGAAAGTCTAGTTTAATAAGTCTTAGACACCCTTCATGAGAAAATTGATTAATGATGGAATAGGTTCACTCACATATATATGTTCAAGCTATAATTTACTTGATCCATTTACTAAACCATTATTCAAAGATTTAGTAGAGACTACCTAGGTATGGGATTGGCATTCCTAAAATTAAGAAAACATTAACCTAAGTTTTATTGGGTAACAACAAGTCATTGATTTGGATGTTTGTGCAACATTATGTGATAATATCGACTATTGCATATTGAGGGTTGAGTTTTTTTTAACTAGATACAATGAGAACTTCACCTATGTGAATTTGGAGATGATGTCGTTTCAAAGTGAGAAAAGTGTGGAGGAATATTTGGTCCTGGCTTGGCATTGGGGGAACACAAATATACATCATTGCATATTCTTTCTTGAAGACAATGGAAGCATTTAGAAGGAAAGTGGAGAAGAATAGAGAATGAATGTTATGGATGATAACATGGTGGTGCATTTCAAATAAATAGAATGTTGTGTTTTTCAAAGAAGACATAGGTCATACATGATATTGAGTACAACATCAATTTTATTTCTTGGATATGGATTCAAATAAAATGAACCATAGGTGTAACTACTATGATTGGTACCAATCACCACTTAAATATCTTATGTAAATCATTTAGTGATTGTAATTGATGGGGTTAAGATTTGATAGGGTTCAGAATTTGATTAACTTTTTTCCTCTCTGATCTGTCACTTATGAATATCTCAAAGGTTTGCATGAAACCAATGAGTTCATCAACTTCAATACTTCTCAAGTACTTAACTTCTTCAATAGCAGTTACTTTCATATCAAACCTCTAACACAATGATCTGAGAATTTCCTGGAAAGCTTTTCTTTAGACATCTTTTCACCTATGACAAAAGAGGTTTTGGCAATATCACACAATATGATGTAGAATTCACAAATTGTTTCTTCTTCATTTATACCCACAGATTCTCAAACTTAATGGAAAATAGCTGCAATCTTGACATACAAACTTTGGATGTTGCTTCATGCGCAGTTTTGAGAACCTCCCAAGATTCATTAGCTTCTGAACATGTTTTGATCAACCTAAACATGTTCTTGTCCACACCAATTAAGATAGCATTGATTCGTTGTCGTGCACGTATAAAAAATGAGTAGTTTGAAAAATGGTAGTTTAGCGACAATGACTCGAGTCGTATCGCAAGGATTCTTGTATTGAATTTAACCAACTATAGTAACGATTTATGGGGGGGTTGAATTTCGATTAAATGAAAATTGTGTAAAATAAAAGTGATTATCAAATTAGATGAAAAGTTAATTTGATGATTGGTTCCTACCAATCATCGGTTAATATAATTCCAATCTCCTAATGGATTATCTATTCCTATTTAATTACAAACTCATTGACAAGCGCAAGTTGTATGTGTGATGTAGGTTCCTACTATCCAAATTAAGCAAACAGAATTAAGCCCTCGTGAATTAAGCAAACACGATTTGATCAATCATGATAACGAATTAAGCAAACACTAACGTGATTATGGTTAAGGATCATACAACAATCAAATTAAATCAACATACTCTATGAAAATTGGATTAAGCAAACAAGAATCATAGAATAAGATTGAAAGAAATAAAAACTAAATTGAAATTATTATAACCTCAAGGTGTCGGAACCGAATACAACAAATCAACAATTGAAATTAGTTCTCCATGAATTTTTTCGTATAAAGCAAAGTAAAGTCGTGAAAAGAAGGTTATGAACAGTAGCACGGCTTCTACTAGGTATAGGGAAGCATCAAAAAATCCGGTTCTAACCCAACTGGGTCAGAAAACATAAAAGACCCGACCCAAAATTAAATATTTTTAATGGCAGATTTTGGGTCCTGACTTCAACGAATTATTTGAGTCTGCTACATTTCGAACCAACTTCTTCCTTAAACATGAAAGTTGTAGCTCTCTTTCTTATCTTTCCAACACCTATTAGAACGCTCATATCCGATTCTCGTAGCTCTAGTTATGCTCTAAATAGTGAAAAAATATCAAATAACCGATAAAGCTGAAAATAAGCTACGAAAATAGATTAAAGGCAAACAAAAACTTAATTCTAAAAACATAATAAAACAATAAAATAAACAAAACAAACTAAGGAAATGCCTAAGTAAAAACATAAGAGAACGTGCATTAAGATGCACTGATCACACATTCGAAGCCTTGAAGTTTCCAAGACCTTACTTATCTTCAACACTAGTCCATCTGGCTTCTAGTTTTAAGCTAGAAGTTTCATCTTCAGAGATGATCATTTGATGTTTCCGACCTTTTATCACATCTTTCCATGCTTTGATGCTCATGCTTTGATAAATACCACCAACATAGCCTTCCAATAATCATAATTTGTGGCATCCAAGGCAGGTAGTTTGTTGACTGATCCTCCATATTTAATTATCTCCATTTGAGACGAATTTATCTTCCCTAGAGCTCACCAAACATGTTAGGGTTCTTGCTCTGATACCAGTTAAAATTTTATTCCTCAAGAGAAAGATTTTGAACACATGTCCTAGACAACTGGTTCGACAATTGAACCAGAATAACCATAAATAATAGATATTAAGTTAAACAAGATGATGGATCATAAAAGCAATAAAGAACAACAAAAATTGGCAACCCATTTTGATGCAAACAACACTTATTCCTGAAGGGTTGGCTTTAAACCCTAGAAAGGAAGCTCATAATTCGCCAATGACAAAGTTTTGGTTTCATCACCTCTAAGAACCTAAGTTAACAGACTACAAATTAATGACTCATAATTTATACATATCCATAACAATTAAAATTAAATAATCAAGCTCAATATTGTTCATATTCATAATATTCACATTGGCTTATTGTATATTACTTCTAAAAATATTCAATATTTTTCTTCACCATCCCAATGTCTTAGGTTTTTTTATCACTAAGTAACAAACATAATAGACTATAGTAGATGTAAAAAATTAATTATATATTTTTTTTCAACTCCATCACAAAATTTTAAGTTTATCCCCACTAAAAAAGAAAGTTAAAAGACTATAATACATGACTTTAATTTTATACAATATAGGTAAAAATTAAAATTAAATAATCAAGCTTAAATTTATTTATATTTACCATTTTCACATTGAATTATGGTAAATTTGATGTAAATATATTCAATATGTTTCTTCTCCATCACCAAATTTCATGTTTCTTCGTCAGTAAGCCACAGATTTAAAGGACTATAAATGAATGACAAATAAATTATATCTACTCGGGTAATCACTAAAATAAAATATTCAATCTGAATGTTATTTGTATTCACGATAATCACATTGTATTACAGTATAATAGATGTAAACAATTTCTATGTTTTTCTTCTTCTCCATCACCAAAATTTTGATTTCTTCACCTCTAAGAAACTAAGTTAAGGGACTACAGATGAATGACCCATAATTTATACATATGCATAACAACTAAAATTAAAAAATCAAGCTCAATATTGTTCATATTCATAATATTCACATTGACTTATTGTATGTTACTTCTAAAAATATTAAATATTTTTCTTCACCATCCCAAAGTCTTAGTCTTTTTTATCACTAAGCAAAAAACATAATAGACTATAGTAGATGTAAAAAATTAATTATATTTTATTTTTCAACTCCATCACACAATTTTAGGTTTATCACCACTAAAAAAAAGTTAAAAGACTATAATACATGACTTATATTTTATACAATATAGGTAAAAATTAAAATTAAATAATCAAGCTTAAATTTATATTTATTTACCATTTTCACAATGAATTATGGTAAATTTGATGTAAATATATTCAATATGTTTCTTCTCCATCACCAAATTTCATGTTTCTTCGTCAGTAAGCCTCAGATTTAAAGGACTATAAATGAATGACAAATAAATTATATCTACCCGGGTAATCACTAATATAAAATATTTATTCACAATGTTATTTGTATTAACCATAATCAAATTGTATTATGGTATAATAGATGTAAATAATTTCTATATTTTTCTTCTTCTCCACCATCAAATTTTTAGTTTCTTCACCTCTAAGAAATTAAGTTAAGAGACTTAAATGAACGACCCATAATTTATACATATGCATAACAATTAAAATTAAATAATCAAGCTCAATGTTGTTCATATTTATAATATTCACATTGACTTATTGTATGTTATTTCTAAAAATATTCAATATTTTTTTTTCACCATCCCAAAATCTTAGATTTTTTTATCACTAAGTAAAAAACATAATAGACTATAGTAGATGTAAAATATTAATTATATTTTTTTTCAACTCCATCACAAAATTTTAGGTTTATCACCACTAAAAAAAAAGTTAAAAGAGTATAATACATGA